TTCTTCATAAAAGGGCCCTTGGGACATCTGTGTCTAATGCAGGAAAAAAAGTGATAGGAGTTTTCAGAGCTTTTTTTCTGCACTCAGAGGAGTGGAACCAGGAGTGAAACTCCTTTTCTCCCAACACCGTAAGGTGAGCCTGGGAACATGGGGAGAGCTCTGCATCATCCCAAGATCCTGCTCACACCGTGTGGTCTTTGGGACCTTAGTCCTGGCTCACACTGATCTCTGCTCATCTCTGGCTCCATTGCAGGGTTTGCAACACGAGCACATTAAAATGTTTTTAGAGCCCAATTCCTCAGCATTTGCCTTTGACAGTTTATCTCAAGGGATGGATAATCTCATTTATGTCTGTTACTGCAAATCAAAACACCAGCAAATTAAATAGATCTGAAGGCTAAGATTAAAGACTCAGAATTAAAACACACGTGAAGTGCCTGTAATGCAAATAATTGTAAATATAATTTTTTTCTGGGTGATTGAAAAGCCCTACCCAGATGCTGTTCCATTTACCTTGAAAGCAAAGACAGAATCAGAGAATCATGGAAGCATTAAGGTTGGATAAGCCCTCTAAGATCAAGTCCAACCACTGCCAGGTCCAACCACTGAAATATCCAACTGGTGCAGACATGGATTTCACACGGTGCTGGTTTCTTTCCTATGGTTAGAAAAGGAAAGAAAAGGAAATGAGCTCGAGCATCACCTTTTACCAGAGCCAAGAGATGCTTTTATGTCCATCTGATGATGACTGAGCTTGTGGCTGGCCCAAAACTGGGGTCCAGTGGGCCTGACTGGAGGAAGCCGAGGGCACTGCTGGTTCCCTCCAGCCACAGGGATGTGCCCTGGCTCCACGGATGCTGCTTCCCCAGCTGCTTCCCCATCAGCCACCCGAACTGGAACACAGCATGTCACCAAAGCCCACCTGGTCTCGGACCAAAACTCCTCCATGTCCCGGCAGCAGATGGGGCAGCGACTACTGGGGAACTCCCACGCGAGGTTTTTTGCAGGATCCAGCACGGAACAAGCAGATGGAAAATGAATTGATGTGAAACCCATGCTAGAAATTCCATTGTAGACGTTCCCCATTCCTAGAATACACACTTTAAAGCCCATGCTGTCTGCATTAGCCTTTTATAATTCCATTATAACGGTGTCGCTGTGCCTCGGGGCTGGATTGCTGGGGCACTGTGGTGGGGCAGCACCCTTTTTTGGGAGCTGCTTCTGCCTGGGCACCGTTCCCCAAGCACCAGCTGCCCTCTAGAGCCAAGTAGTGACTGTTCTGGCAGAGCGCAGCCAGCAGATAGCAGCATTGGTACACAAAATGTACCTGCTGCTCTTTCAAAGTCGCGCAGGAACCTTGGGGTGTTTAAGTCTGGGGCTGTGACCTCCCTCCACTTCAACGAAAAGGAAATTAATAACCAGCAAACAGAGGGTGGAGCTGCTTTTCCCTGTCCCAGGACATGATGTTTTGCTGTGAAGGGCTTGTAATACAGCAGGGCAGGTGTTTTCTCACCTGGGAGGGTTGTGCTGTCTTTATTACAGAAGGGAAGGAACATCCACTGAGGGACATTGGTAATAAGACCTAATTAACACTTATTTGGTCTGATAAATTTGATTGATTTCAGCAGCGCACAGAGTAAGCCACCTTCAGCTCACAGCAGCACTTTGGCAGTTCAGACCGGAAGGTTTCCCTTCATTTCTGGAAAAATCTTTGCTTTCAACCTGCAGAAGGATTTGGGCACTGCTTGGGTTGGTGTCAGGGCTCCTGCTTCTGTTCCAGGCTGGGACAGGAGCACGGACATGTCATTTAAAGGATGTGTTGCATTTATCTCTATAATTTATCTATTTATATCTCTATTTGTATCGCTATTTAATAAATACTTATATTTACATTTATTTATATTTAACACCTTGTATTTACCACCATTCTTCCCTGGAGGATGTTTCCACACCGCTTATTTTCATATAAAGGATCCCCCTGTATTACATTTCTTTAATTAATATATTATTTTCAGTATAAGGGTCCCCACCAGCTAAACACACCATGTGGGAGCAGGATGTGAGACTGTGAACCAGGTAAGAGCACTTGCATCAACCTTGAACCACGTTTGTGGGAAAGCAGGTTGCTGCTGGAAGCTGAGATGGGTTTAGCCCCCTCAAAAGCCCCTCAAAGTGGCCCAAAACCATCTGTGATCCCGCGGGGGATGGAGGAGGCTGCCTGGCAAGGAAGGAATGCAAGGGGTTTGATAAGGAAGGAATAATAATAATAATAATAATAATAATAATTGTCCTTTTCTGGCGGGGCAGAGCTGAGCCTGCCTGTATTTACACACAGGCAAAAAGCTTCCTGAGCTGGAAGTGCAGCTTTTTCCGCTGGCTCAGCACCGTCGCTGCTCTGCCACCCGCTCCCGGCGTTTCCCTCAATCCCGAGGCTTTAGCAGCCCTTTTGTTTCGCCGGAGCACTTGACTGTAACTGTATTGTCTCTGCTCGGCCCGTAGGACGTACCCTGAGCTGTGAAAAACGCACCTGACGTTTGATTAGATCTCCAGCTTTTGACACAGCGCTGA